AAAAAAAAACAATAAAATGTCCGAACTCATATTAGTCCTCATATGGTCTGTGATCATATTCTCCATGCCGGAACATGCTTCATTCAGTTCCTTCTGTGTGTTTGGATGGGATGTTATCTCAACCGGAAGGCTGGATTCGGGTGGGTGGGACGAAAACAGCACACTGGCTGCATGAAAATCAGCTGACTGAAGCATATGACAAACGTTAACTTGCAGATTAATTTGCTGACAACAATATACTCGAATGGAATTCAGCTGAATCGCCCATTCACAATTGAATGTGCTGCACAAATTCCGCCTTGTTTTTCAGCTGAAACGACAATCAATATGACAGAGTATTTCTCTTCTGTGAAAGCTGTGTACAACCAACTGCCAGTACAATGGTCATCCCCAGGGAACAAGTGTTCCTCTCGAGTTACTAGGACTTTGCGAAATTTTCTCCGTACCACTAAGATGAATGCTTCGGTTTTTGTACAACAGTGATCAGTAGACTGAAACTGCGTTAGTTCAGGAAATTTTGATATTCCAAACAAAAAATACCAATCTCAGTTCATAGTGTCCATGTTCGAACCCATCGGTCTCATTCACTTATCAAAAGGTACTGCTGGGGCGTAATTCAATTACTGTGTCCCATTATGCGACTTTTTTTAAATGCCTTCATTCGAAATGAGAAACAGTGGGTTTTGCTTGAGGTGCCTCTCCCAACCTTTCCAATATTCAACGTCAGAACACCAGATTCTCTAGAATTGATGTTGTGCATATGACCTTGTAAACGAGCTACGCTCCCTAGCACCTTACCTACGCCTATGATACATGCGTACGAAAGGATTGTAGCTCTCTCTTGTAGCCGAGAGTGGAAAGGAGGTCGGAAATATATAAGTGAATAGTGGTGTTTCGAGTGTGCCTGATGGAAGCTGATCACGCGACTGTTGGTCGGTCAGTTGCAAACACTTTCCAATTAAATGAATGACTAATATCGTTGCCTGCCAGTCTGCGGTGGTGAAGATTTTCAGATTTTCTGTCTTTCTGTTTTATACATTCAGTTTTTGGAAACCTCAAACCTGTCGGCTTTCAGCTCGTATTCGAAGAAATTACATGGCTGACAAAAGGAGCGGCAGAAAAGCTGGGTACTGATAGGAGATTCATCTGAAATTCACCTGAATTTCTGATACTCATCAGCTGAACAGGCAGCTAACGTTTATTTGGGACGATACTTTAAGATATCGGAGCGTATTTCAGTACTACTCATTAGATAAAAAAAACCTGAGCAACCTACCAGCAATTTCACCGTTCTTGGACTCCCTCCGACTCGCCATCAACAATATTTTCCTCTTGAACACTCAAGTGTACAAGTATTACTACAGTCCGTCTACTCCAAATGAAGTCAGCGTTGACAGAGAACTCAGGTGAAATTCACCTGAATCCCTCACCTATGGTATTCCTCATACATACGTCCTACATTACAAGCTGGTACTAAAGGAATAAACCTGATGGAATTTCGGAGATTGTTTCTGGGGTCCATGAAGAGTGAAGCACGGAGATTTCACCGGTATGATGAATAAGATGCGAAGGTCTGTCGTTTTAGGTGTTTCACATGTTCATATTTGAAGAAAGGATTTGGCAGTTGAAACACGAGGATATACCCTGGATGGTGTGGCATAAGACAGTATGTACTAAGGAAGACAGGCGGAATCTTCTATATTTAGAGAGGGGTCCACCTGTCTCCACTCACGGATGGTGGGATAGCATGTAGTCTTTATAGTCGTTATCAGAGCCTGGGGCATCTCCCGTCTGATAAGCTGAAGTGTTAGAAATCCCCATAGTTTTTAGGAAGATGATACCTCACATATGCATGTGAATAAATAGCCTGAATATTTCTTCGAATAAGGATAGGTTACAGTCTAGTCTTGGGTTACATCAGTTAGGCGTTAAATGTAGAGACAGTCTTCTTGACGGGGGGATACTGCGTGAAATCGGTGGGAACATTTTGTGAGTGCGCTGAACGGAGGTATGCTTGTAACAAGTCGGGAAATGCATTGAGGTCGAAGGAAAGCATATGAATTCTGGATCTCATGCTGTTCGGCTGAGAAGAATGGGGAAGTTTCACTGCCGCCTCCCTTGGTACACTGCTTGTGCAATAGGTTGGGTTAGCAAGTGAAGGTATTAGATATGCACAATTGGTCAATTGATACGGCATGGTTGTCTCTGATCCCGGGAGTTTGGTGCCATCTGTACTTTTGTTCATTGAATGACCAGCAGCAACAAAATGGTCACTATCTATCTTTTCCTGAACAATCGACGTGTTATATTCCGGTAGAGTTTCCACCACCTCCTCTTTGTTTGATACATTGGACCCGTTTGGTGAAGCAGTTGACCTGGAATAAGGTGCAAGTTCCTCAGGAAGTTCCTCGCAGGAAGTACTCAGTTGGCGTTTCTTCGTCTTATAGCGGCGGTTCTGGAACCATATTTTGACCTGTAACAAGCAAAGAATGCGAAATTAGTACGATGATCTCGATATTCGATGAAAACTATACATGATTCCGAAGTCGCATTGTGGACACAGCTTCGGACATCATTTCTCACTATGCCAACAACGGGCGGATGGAGTCATCCCTCCGATGACAGGAGAAATCTGGGTAGCAATTCTTCTTGACATTTTAGTAGGTAAAATTGAAGATTTTTCGCTGGAGGAACCAACCTTGACGCTTAACGGATGGATTCCACTTGTTGCACTTATTACTTCAGCAAAATGGAATTGGAATGTGTGGAAGATACACATGTGCGTTTCCGCAACTAAACCGTCCGTCACTCGTCAAGCTGTCCATTTCTGATAGATGCATTGCAGCTACGTTTTTGTCGCAAACTTCTAGAGACCACTCCAAACCAGTGAAGAATATGGTTCGAGTTGATAACCTCAGTAAATGTGACGGACAGTCTGAAAAGTTATTTATTTCAGTTCACAGAGTACTGCTTCTGTTAGACTTAGAGCAATAAACCCCTCATTCTTTCAACACTACGATAGGCCAGCATGAAATAAATTAGTTCTTGTTGCAACGCTTAACACCTTATTCGGCCTATCTAGCCACCCGTACATGTGTTTTTCGCAAATTCACTTCATGAAACCCTGGGTGAACCATCCTGCTACGCCACTGTGATTCCACGACCTTCCATTCGAATGAGATCGCACCTTTGCTGACATGTATATTCAGATCAATTGGTTCAAGATAACAAAATATGTCCGTCTTTGTTATTCCTGTTACAGTACTGGATCAGATTTCCCATGTTCCATGGAATGAGGTCAACCGAGCCACTTAGGATACACTCATCACCCCTCGAGTGAAGGGCATTGCGGACAATTGGTAATTGCACAAATCGCAGTCGATGGTGCATCGGCCCCTTAGTGGAACGGACAGGTGATAGAGACGTGCAATTCAGTTGCCTACTTTGATGTTCACTGGAAAATATATGAAAAGCCTGTCATTATCAACCTTTCAATGAGTATGGCTAGAAGGGTATTTTGAATCTCGGATTAAATAAGCCACCAGGGGTAGTTTCCGTGACAAATTGAAGTGAAGAATATCTATGATGTGAATTCCGCTTAGACCCAATGCTTGAACTCTCGGTTTACAAAGAGATCGCGAAATTTATAAAATATGTTCACTTTGGTGAAGCTGTGCAATCTGTTATCAAAGGGATGCAAAAAGTATAAGATGACTGAGCGCCAAAAGTGTGCACAACTCATCCTCATGAAAAACTGCTGATGCTCACGGAAAAAGATCTCACTAACAAGGGAGATTTTCAAATGATACGTTGATCGGATAGTTCAAAACCTAAGGTAAGTTTGTAGGGGCTGGTAAAGCAAGCTTCACCGAAGATGAGATGCCTGAACTGCTTATACCCCTTGACTAATATAAACAATATAGTCGAAATATGGGACAAGGAAGATGTAAATATTTCGTATTGGCTCATCTCTGTACCAGTGTACGAAGACGCCTTATACTATAGTCACTACAAAACTGGTCACCAGTCTGATTAGCAACTGATCGGTCATTCAAGCAAAGCAGTGAACATCGTCGAGATCCTTATAGGCGAACAAGAAAACAAAGGCGACTGACTGCGACAGCTCCAACGAATGTGAAAACATGAGTTCAGAGCACTGAGAAAAATGGTGGGCATTGCAGTCAAATCAACTGTGCTTACTAGGAGAGCTCATAATCTGGCAGAGATCATAAGTTTCGTCCTATTGTTCGGCTTTAAATCCAAATAGAATGTGTCCTTCTTTTTGGGTCACCTATCTCACTGTGAAACAAAATATCTCTGAGATATCACCGTAATCTTGGTGATTGGTGTTCCTGAGAACCGATCCAATGTTGCCTCGCTGTGTTGGACATCATTCGGCATTGCCATTCACTCCAAGTTATGAGCAGGCGCCCCGAAACAATGCAGCGCGCTCATTGTTGGTTTTTTGACGGAAAGTGGTTCTCTGTTTGGATATTATGCCACTACTGATATTTTACGTTTTGCATCAAACGACCATGCAAGTGTAATCAGATGTGGGAGCTCATCCGGCCAGGCAAATTTTTCTTCGTTTCCCCATTTTCTTATAATTCAGAAACGTCACAGCACTGTCTGTATTGCCCAGGTAGATAGGTAGACATCAAACCCTGCCTCTACACTGATGCAGCTGTAATACGATTCATTCACTGTTTGTCTTGCTTCATACTGGTTACAATTCCTATCTCAAGACAATGTCTTGGGGTCTTTTTTATAGCTTCAGTCATCACGCACAGTACAATCCTTTGTCACTTCTGAAACAAACAACTGAGATCCTCAAGGCATGGTACTCTTCAGTTTAACTTGGATCGCCCAAGCGACAGTACAAATCCAACACAATCCTGTATACATAGGGCCTGAGAAACTGTCTGTTCGAGTCATTTGTTTATATTCCTGTTATGCTACGGGTTTTGTGAATTCTTGCTTTGCTAATTAAATCAGAAGACTTTTAGGAAGTTTCTTTGAGGAGGATTTCCCAGAGTGACTACGTGGTCATTTTTGTACCATGTTTCAATACAGATTTGTTTGTTAGGTTTGAGCCGCATTCCAAAAATACATTTTAACTCTGAAGTACACAATATTACACACCTCCAGCCGCTGCGGTATGAAGGCACAACGGTGCACAAAAGTCCAGAATTAGTATGACTAACTGCACCGCCACGCAGTGATAATCTGTTTGTAGACGTCATATAACAAGTATCAGATTGATGCATTTTTATGGAAAGAACTTTGATATCTTGTCGGAGGTTAAAAACACTCTAGCGTAACTCGGAGAACCACCTAACTCACTAGCTTGTTTGGAAATTGATAATGACCAAAATTTGTTTGGTTACTGATTCACTGCTACAGATTTTTTAGACAACCGTTGCAGACTGCAGGCTGTCGACAAGAATTCAAAGATACCGAGTTCTCGGAAAAATGTATCCGCATGCGTGCTGCAGCTAAGGCCTTGTATCACCGCCGGTCGAAAACGTGAGCCGCATAGCACCAGGTGAAACCCAGATCGACCGGTTGCAGTTGTTTGACCCATGGCGAGAGCTAGTTCTTTAAACACACGAGTCATTCCTATCCGGTTGCTAGGATGCGATTGAGCACAGCCCATGCAGCAACATATTCAAACAAATTAGGTTGAGTTTGGAATCGTGTGACGAGCTCAAACCCATTTGTATACATAAACTGTTGAATAAAACTTCGGTTGGAACCCAGTCAATTAAACAGGAAATGAAGACAATGTGCATGCCATCAACGAGCCTTATCTAGAATGACTCATGCCATCAAAATTGTTCAAAGCCAGATACCATCAGGGGATGGTCCTATAATGCTTTCGCTTTTTTTGCGCTATCGGTTTATCTAAACATCATTCTCATAGACTATCGGTTTGGTTATGATTTTCCTGCTGACTGCAGATTCAGCCCCATCCATTTGGATTGAAAAAAAAACACCACTGAACCAGTGATTCTGTCTCGGAAGGTACTTTGCTGGAGAACAATAAACTTCCAGTGACTAATTTGACTTTGTATAAATTATATCACAAATTTTCGTCGCAAAGATCCCGGGAGAGTCAACAATACACCCCAAATCATTTGTTCCTAGCTTCAAAGCAAGTTGGGAAACATCGACAATAAACGTAATGGTGAACAATAAAGATGTGGTCAAGCCTAAGAAATAAATAAAACTCATTCAATAGCTGTCGATGGCTGTGGGATTTGAAGAGTTCACGTCTATATCAACCTCGTTTAAACGATCTTCGTTCTGTACCGGCGCCATCATCCTCGTGACTCCACAACAAAGGCTGAAGTACTGCACTCGAGTAACATTCTTATCAGAGCGACAGTATTCGTCAGGCAAACTAATCACAGCTCCAAACGGTGAACATCTTCACCTTTTTGGAAGTGAGAAACCAGATGCATCCAGCGTGCGTTGATGTGGTAGCGGTAAAATACTCAACTCGGATTTCAGGTGTCCGGAGTTCTAATCGCGGGACGGTCAAGGGTTCTAATAAGAGTGAAACTAGAGTCCACTCTGTGGTGTAGAACCATGAGGATAACTGAGCTGGGAAAAGAGACGAACTATTCGAACGATGGTGATGTGGATATTAAAGCCCGTTCATTTCGTATGCACTACCGCAGGACAAATAAATGGTGGGAAAGAGACGATTTTCTTCTACACTAACCGATGCGCAATTCAACAGAATGTTGCTGCTGGAAGATGCTGTGGAATTAGTGTACACGCTAAGGGATATATAACTCGCTGCGTACCTTACACCAACACACAATGTGTTGGTATAAACCAGGATTTTGGGCAACGCACAAAGCCTACGTTTAGTAAATTCATTCAGTATATGCTTTACATAATACGTTGCTTTGGGTTTTCCAATTAGTGCTAGGATATATCCTTTTTGTCCGTGTAGGTTACAGTCGTAGGAAATCCTGTATTTTTCACGCCAAGCTCTCAAGCCGTTTTATGGGCTCATCTAGGATGGAAGTTGTAGTAAAGTGCGACCACAGGGACTCGCCGACGTAGTGAACGCTTCGGAATAATCATGGCAGCGGGCACCAGGTTCAGTGGCTATCGGACGTATGCAAGTCTGGGTTTTTGCTGTGTTGCGGCGTCGCCCCAGCTTCCGTTAATCTGATTCCTATTAAAGCCCTGATATAGTGCTCCCATTCACATATCTGTAAAAAATCATCTCGTGAAGTTTCCACCATATCATTCAACTGTTGAGTTACTGCACAAAGTAAAAAATATTTGCTGCTAATAAACTAGTCAACGCTTTCTAATGTAACTCGGGTAGCCTATGTAGAACCGACCGCGGAGTGCACCAGTTGTTCATTCGCATTCCAAATGAAATGGGCTTTTTAACCTTAATATTCGAGAAAAAGATTAGCTGTGGCATTCTAATTTTACCATGTTTTACTAGTACGCTTTTACCAAACAGTAACTAAGGAAGTAACGTTCTAGTAAACCAGATTTAAGTAACTGTCCTAAGGAAAGTCTGGTCTTCACACATCATTAATTTGGCCTCAAATAACCGAGCAGAACATTAATCAGCAACCTTATGACTAGTACATTACGAATATACATGTATCGCGATATCTCGAATATTGTAGCGATTGAAACATGAGGCGGCCCGGTGTAGCACATTCGGGAGCCTGGAAACATCACAAACGAGAGATTTAGCTGTGTTCCGGGTGAGTCTCTTGCAAAACCAAATTAGTTTGCAAATGTGTATTTCGTTAATCTATTGTTGTTCTTTTGATGGCATTGTTTCGTAAATTGGACCACAGATCAGTAGTATCCGCAATTTTTAAAATTTTGAGAAGCCTCGCGAGAAAAAACCCTTTTCGTGATAGCCATCACTAATATCAGAATGAAGTCAGTCTCGATGTGAAAAAGTTTCAGGTTTAAGATTATACACTTAGAGGGATAGGACACTAAATTACAATGTCTAGACTTTATATCACGAGGACTTACCTGCGTCTCAGACAGTCTTAGTGATCTTGCCAGTTCGGCCCTTTCCGGTGCTGATAGATAACGTTGGTAGGTAAACCGACGTTCCAACTCAAACACTTGTGCATGAGAAAATGCCGCTCGTGTTCGCTTCTTCCGAGACAGGCTTGACAGAGCAGGATAGCACTTTGACCCTGGTAGGAATTGAAACAGAGGCGAGTCGTTGCATGGATGCTGTGTCTTGACTGGCTGAGCTTGCATCAACGCTTGATCCCGCCAGCTCCGAAAAAGGTCATTCGGAGATACCAGTTGAGATGGGACGCAGGAAGCCAATACGAGTCCCTTTGACTGAGGCTTGTTTTGATTTTCGCTAAGTGTTGCGGAAGGTTTCTCTCCAAAGCCATTGTTCTGCATGTTTTTACCATCTGAGTGGTCAGTGGAATGGAGCAGATGATTTGGCGACCAGTCATCCCTCACTTCCGATGGAGCGCTGAAATCCACTGGGAATGCAGGTCTAAAATACGCGTCTGCTAGGCCGTTTTGCTTTGGAGTTGACTGGCATCTGACCTGATTCATCAGTGCTGCAAGTAATTAGTGCAATACTCAGTATGTAAACTCAAAAAGTCTAAATGTGTATCTCATAGCGTGAGCGAACTCACAAAGCTAGGCGTTTTAGTTTTCTTGTCCAAAAACAGCAATGGCCAGAAAGCAACGTGTATCAATCATTGATAGGGGTGGCCAGCTTCTCGAGACAAGTACTCAACAGATACGAAGGCAGGCGAAACACTATGGTGAAGAGTTCCACAGGAATAAGAGAAAATCTTGGAAAAGTAGGCAATGTCTAATGTCGATATGCGAATCCTTCAACAGTAATCTTTTGCTAACCTAGTTAGTCCAGGCCCAAAGCGGCTAAGCAAAGATACAATAAAAACCGGTTTCTCTAGGTGATACCCACAACAAGATCTACCGTAAGTAGTGAAGGAATTTTCGCCATATAAATAACCCTTTTCTATATGACAAAGATGTGCTGAGGGTTTATTTTTGGTCCCGTAAAGAAATTACTGCCGTTCGTTTGTTAGAAAAGCCTTCAAGCAACTATCTCCAAAAAGCCGTAAGATGTGGCCCTATCCACTGGCCTGCGGGTAAGTTTAGCGCTTAACGATAATTAACAAACCCTGAGTTGAGCCTAGGTAGGATGTGCATTCCACCTTGACTGTTCACTGAAGTCCATCTACCTGGTTGGGCTTCCATTGGGCGACTGGATTATGCTGAGATGTTGCATAAAACCACGTCAGATGACATACCAGTTATCGTAGTGTGAATCACCTACACCCTGCTTCAATCGAGAGATTGGTATAGTGGAAAATGTGAAGTGGATAAATGTCCCATTTTGATGAATGCGAATTTAGGGGGGGGGGGAAGCGACCGGAAGGTTGAACCCAGAAGCCATCGCGAGTGGTGTCGAATAGATTAGGGTACACCGTACGTCCTCCCTGCCATCTATAGGGAAATTTTTGACACATTCGCAGCCTATCCATGTACGCTTTTTTAATAAACGCACTGTGGACCTTTGTGTTTGCGCGTCTGTCCAATTCCTAAAAAATGTCATGTACGTATTTCTAAAGCATGTAATTCCTCGGCAGACTGGTATCGTATACGAACGATGAGATGTACCCGCAACTGTGGTCACTTGTGTTTAGAGATGTGGTGCAGATGCAAGACTGGTAATGACCAATCAATCGATCGGTCAATCAGCTTAATAAGGATAAATGCATCACAGACTGAATTGGGTGTAATTGACTACCAGGAGACTCGCACACAGACAGTTGAAACCCGTAATCAGCCGGAAACAATTATCCAACTAAACATCAACCGCAGGATAACGCCAGAAAGGTTCTTCAAGATGCTGCTCGTCAGAAGAGTCTAGTGTAACCTCAAACCAGCAAAGCCATTATGGGGCACATGTTCATCGTTTGTTGTGGATGTTGGATGTTGAAATGGCACTCCAATAGCTTTTCCGGAGTGGCTTTTCATCAGTTATTTATTCCACAAAGCTCTTCATTATTTTTCATTCATCACAAAGAAACGGAAAGCATGGATCCTCCACAATATCTGTTAAAAGTGGGTGACTGCTTCATTCCAGCTCTGATCTATGCACTATCCTTATGTAGTGTTGGTTTTTGTCTTTTCCGAAAGAGTTCTGGTAGCCCTTACGCTCACACTGTTATCCTATTCTGTGGTAAGCGAAAACCAAAACGCCATGTGAAACGTTTCCCTTCTAAGTTCGACCTATTCAGGATAAACAAACGATCTTCTCCATTCGACTTTTAAAGGTTTGTTGTTACTTAAGCCCATCTGGCTATGCGTGAAGTTGAAAAAGTAGTCAACAAAATTAATGGTTGCGTATGTGAATTACTTGATGTATTAGAAGACAGTCGTTCGCAGTACACTGGAAAACAACCATCCAGAGCTCATATCAGATCAAAATATCTTTTACGCAAAGAGTCTAGTTCAACCTTTGAACTGCCTTTGATGTTAGCCTGGTTGTATTCAATCAGACTCACATAAACTTAGCTCTCCTAGGCCGACCTAGACACCTGACGCTCGATCCAGGACTAAGAAACAAATGAAAATTGTACCATTTCCAATCCTTTCATTTCTAGCTGACTCGTGAGAATAATGGGTTACGTATTATAGTCAAAGTTCAATGGCTTCACGAAGCTCTCAGGCAGTAGTTCTAGTAGACTTTTGTTAGATAATGCAAAATCACATATTGCGCAGACCGTATGCTAGAATTATCCTAAGGTTGACAGTTCGTTTTCTAGGAAGTTATACATTAACGCAGATCCAATTGAGATTTAAGTTTCTGTCTCTCTTCAGCAGAGATTCTATCGCTGGAAGCACGCTTGATTCACCGTCAATTCAGGACTTCGTAGTTGTGAGGCCATGCGTAGTTGACATTGAAAAGTGTAGCGGTCTTTTCTAGGATGCAAAAAACGTGAACCTACCTTCATGTTTGATTTGTAACGTACGCCAGAATGTATCACGGTATTCCTTGTACAATCGATTCAGGAGGTCATCGTGTTGCGACAAACCGTCCGCTGTGATTGGAGGTACGTTGTTCGGATTTGGGAAACTCGGTGACCCAACGTTAGCAGTGATATTGAGGTCTGCAGGTTTTGTGAGTTCGTCAGTCCTGTTTGCTACAGTCAAGTTGTTTGGTTGACTCGATTTAACCGTATGGCGAGGGTCTGAGTTGTACTGTTGACTCGCTTTCTGGCTATTATCGATCAGATTGACAATGGAAAATGCTGATCCGTCCATAGTTTGTTTGGGCACTATGTCGTCCGGTCGTCAGTGACAGATGTACGGAAGTGGAGCTTTTGCTCCGCTGCGAATGGTCAGCTTAAAAACGGAAAGCGTCGTGTGTTAAACTGCCCTGCTTGTGTGCGCGAAGGGGGGTACAAAACGGAAGGACCAGTGCACCATTCGATCCGGCTCTGCTGTGGGCCGAAAATCAAGCACTTAGCTGACCGAGGGGATGGGATAGCACGCGCATGTGGGATGTCCTTCAGTCATCACTGTGCCTCAAGGGTCGGTTGTGATTGGCCTATTCACGGTGAAGTGGCTGACCGGATGATGTGATTGGTGCAGGCGACACCATAGGTGACAGCGTGCGTGTGAAAGAAAATCCATATGTGTGGATGGCGAATAGACTGGGTGTCGAAAGAGCTGTGGACTTCCAGAAGGTGGAAAGAAACAGCGTTCTGTGGGCAAAAGCTCACTGCAAAGTGGGAAACTGTTGTCTTCAATTGAATCTAGTGGACAGAATCCCAGGCACGTGGGAAAAACAGAAGTCATCAATGGTCAAGGCAGAGCTTAATTTTGGAGTGAGGCTTTGCACTTAGAGTGCATCCATTTATTTTCTCTCCAGAATAGTGAATTAAAAACTCAAAAAAAACCCGCCTCCACATGTCCATCAGTGTTGGATAAATGCAATCAGTTTGTGCTCAGTTTTGTATATACACTTGTTCCGATTGGCCACACTGGATTCCTGCCTCCTCCACGATGGTGTCCCTTATTGGATGAAGCTGACTTTTTTGGACTTAAGAGTTCGTTTAGGTTTCAGGATCGTTCTCGCGCATATAGTACCAAGGTAGCTCAAACTTCAAGTCGTAGAATCCAAATTGAACGTCCCCAAAAACACTCCTCTTTTCTTATACAAAAGTACCTCATAGATAATAAAAGATAATCATTCAGCTGTAGCACCCTTTCGGTGCCTAGCTGCCATGCCACCATAAGGAAGCTCTAGGGCAGGGCTACTGTCAGGTTGTCCAAGCCTAGATAGGGGAGTTCGAGAGGCAGAAGTGGGGTCCGAACCACGGAACTTACGGTAAGTGTGGGGTCCGACCACGGAACTTACGGTAAGTACATTCGCGATCCAACCACTGAGCCATCTCGGATATTTTGCAATAAGCCGAGACCCGGGGTAAGTTCATTTCGTCTTGATTTTAAACGTAATCGAAAAATGCTGCCATTTGCACACGAATTTGGGTTTCACAGGTGACTGAACTGAGTCTACCTGAATCTCTTGTTTATGATGGTCCGATTTTAACCGAATGTGTTGCTTCAAGCCACCTCATGTTTCAGTAGGTACGATATTCAAAATACCGCAGTACGTTGCCGTCTCGAAATAACACCCTACTCATAAGGTTGCTGCGCTTCGACAACAAGATGGAGCGTCAGATTGCCGTGACGCACAAACTGCTGAGTGCTGAATACCTAGAAGCCTCGGGTGCGTAATTTAGCTCTAAGTCAGACGTTCCCGAAGTTTCGCGAGTCACAATTTCTACTGCAATAGATTATTGATTGACTTTTCGATATTACAATTCTGCCCAATGGGGTAGCAGCAAGAAACCTCCTTCTAAAGGTGGTTAAGACCTTATGTAGTAGATGTGAAACCATCTAGCTCACGGGGGGTTGTATATTCACACCTAAATTACGCCGTGTCATTAGGGTTGTGAGCTTCGGTTGGCTCGCAGTTCGGCGTTTTGATAATCGTGAAATCCGGTGTTTCAGGCAAGCACTGAAGTCACAATGAATTCAATGATTGGGTCGCCGTCATATCTTCTGATTTGCCGATCTGCTTATATGACTGATGACCCCGCTCCAGTGCCTAGTGCCGGAAAAAGGCTCACCGAAGGGAATACAGCAGCTTTATTCTGAACGAGCGGGTACGAGAGCATGAGTACGAAAATACAACGGTCTCAAGCTATTTTATTGGACTTGGTACAACGCTGACTCACTCTTTTTCGCTTTGATATAAGGCTGTGACGCGCTGCACATTGAGAGAGCATTGTCTCTCCGATCAGTATCTAGTAGAGCTAAGGGTCTCAGTAGATTTCGGACATTCAGTAGTCACTTTCAGGAATCCGACCTTCCTGATGGTCACGTTGTCGGAAACGCGGAGGCAAGTATTGCAAGCTAACACTAGCTCAACGGCGATGCCCTCTTGGGAGGTAGCTAAGTACCTGGACTGTGATCGTCGTTCTGGGGGTGGCGACAATGCGGGATACGTCGGAGACTAGTCGATTTTGAATTTTATTAGGGAAAGGAGAGACGACATCACAACAGGAAGGAGACCGTTCAGTCGAGAGTCGAACGGGTACCAACGAAATCCCTTACACAGGTCATTCTCTTGCCGCTGTTTTCCGTTCTGAAATGTTTGGAAAGTGAGAGGAATTTCCTCCCAGAGATGCTAGTAGAGGCAGTCCGTGTTTGGATTAAATATTTGAAAATGACTGTTTCAGAATGGCTTGGTAGACAGTCGATAGTTAATTTGGAAATGATTAAATTTAATTTAGCGGCAATATGCCAGTACTCACTGTGTGCATGTATAAACCATGCACCGTTTCCATCGCCATTCAATGAAAACAAGTTAGCTTACCGTACCACGCACCAAAAGAATGCCCTGAGGCGGACGGTCAAAAGCATGCTTATCGGGTTAAGTTAACTATACGTGCAGATATTCAGTAATGGCTGATTCACTAAAAACTAGTGAAAATATAGACTAAATAAACTAATCCTAAGGATGCTGAAAACTCTTCGACAGATTATGACCAATTTGATCCTTCTTGAGGCTCATGAAGTAGGCTCAGTCCGTCAACCTCATGCCTCTCTTGAACAGCTTGTAAGGTCTACCAAAAGCATCATAAAGTACGGATTCAGCTGGGTTCTAGGTGAGTCCATCGTCAAACGCAAGTATATGAGCAAATGAGTGTACTTATCGAAATCTGTCTGATTTAGGTTCAGGTAGAACATAAGCTTGACAGGAACTGTTCCCACCTGATGAGCCCCATGAAGGGCAAAAACGGTAATGGGATGTCAAAGAGTTTTCATCAGTATGCTACGTCTATAAGGTGTATCGGATATCTTGAATATCGTGCTAACTGAAAGATGAGGCGGTCTGGTATAGTACATTAAGTTGCTTAAAAACATGATAAAAGAGAGATTCGACCGGGTTCCAGGTCAGTCTTCCATCAAAACCAGATTGATGTGCAAATGGGTGTATTTTCGCGGTAGATGTGTACTTTAAATTACACTTTCTGGTGCACACCAAAGTAGGGCTAACAACCGATCGTTCCAACTTAAGTTGCTATGCGATTCTTGCTGTCGAAGTGTTCAACTTCACATCTTTGTTGACAGTAGGTCACAACCTTGTAAGGCCGCTATATGGAGCTGCTCATGGCCTGAAACTTACATTTGCTAGGTAAGTGCCCAGTAATCAGCGTCGTTGGGATTTACTGCAATTGGTTTCCCTCAACTAGATTTCAACGGTTCTCCATATCAAAGTGGAGGGGAGGTCGCGCTGAACGCACACTCCAGTATCACCAGTACTTGTCTCAAAATGGCACAACACAATCGTATAGGTCCGGTGTGTTCTACGGAGCACTTTCAGTTTCAAAAACAACCCACTGGACGTTATTCTGCATGATGCCCGAGAGGACTAATGACGGTCTAGCGAAATGAGCTCATTTGCAAACTAATTTGGTTTTGCGAGACTCACCCGGAACCCAGCTGAATCTCTCGCTTGTGATGTCTCTAGGCAACCGAATGTGCTGCACCAGGCCGCCTCATGTTTCAGTCGCTATGATATTCGAGATATCCCGACACGTTTATATTCGTAATGTACTACTCATAAGGCTTCTGAACAGTGCCCGGAACCCAGATGAATTCCTCGTTTATGAGGTTTCTATGCATCATAACATTATAAATGAAAGACTCTGCTGGGTTCCGGGAGAGTCTATCGCAAAACCAAATTTGTTTGCAAATGAGAGTGTTTCGCTAATTTCGCACAATTTGAGTTCAAGTAGAAAGCAAACTCTGGGACTGCGCCTGCCTGATGGGTCCCAAGAAGGTCGAAACCGGTCGCGGACTGTCCAAGAATTTCCAACAACCTTATGATTAATGACAGTCTACTTTCTAAAAGAATCCGTCGACCAAGACTCCCATCTTACTCATCGCAATGGGCAAGTCTAATAAAGGTGTGAATGAATCACTGGCGATTATGTCGCTTGTTCACACCTTGTGATGGCTGCGTCGGTTACCGGGCTGTGACAGTCTACTGAACCCAACGGTCGCTGTAAGTGTGATATGCCAACCTAGGGACTGAGAAAAGTGTGTTGGCGCCATGAGTGGACCTTGTAGTTTAACTTGAGATTTCATCGTGGAGGTGGATTCGATCTATGCTGAAAAGCTTAGATTATAACTAGCCTGCCTGGGTATAACTCTCTCATTCGTGTTGAACACACTGAACGGTGTGCATTTCATGAATCTTTAGATTCGTTGTCAATCGTCCAGCCAACGACCACGGGACCATGTGGTTTGACTGACACGCTTGGAGGATGAATGATGCTGTGCCCTATCTACAAAACGTTTGATCAAATTCAGGAAACAGAATCAAGGACGGACATGTGCATTGGTAAAAAGGAGCTCCGCGAAAATCTTTTTTATTTCCGTGGACCACGAGGATATAACAGCGATGTACGGCCAGAGACTACCCCAGCTGTTATTAAACTGATTAGGAACGCAGTCATGATTGCTCTCGGTGGCATACACATACGAACGGTCGTTGGTTTCTTCTTTGAGCCGATTATTTGCTAGCGATTCACCACCAATCAATAAGACATAATCAATGATTGTTCCGCGGAGTGACAGTGTTCATTAATACAAACATGTGCATTCGTCTCAATGGTGGTTGCGTATTTCGGTGAACATTTTGGGTTTCCGTTAGGTTCATCTGTCCCTGTGAACAAGTAGAGTTA